TTCATTTACTCTATAAGAACTTAAATTGACAATATTTTTGTCAGCAAAAAAAATTTCAAATTGTCTTTTAGCTTCTTCAGTAATTTGAACTCTTGTAATTATTGGTTTTTCAACTCCTGCACATCCTGGACCATTAACTTTGGAATGCAATCTTGCTTTGGATATTGTTTTAGATGACACCTATTTTATTCAGAGAAGTATAAATTGTTGCAATTTAATCATTAATGGCATTACTATCAATAAGAATGTTATGATGTTTATGTACATCTTAATGAACTTAATGGATTTTGAGACTAATGATGATTTTTTTTTTTAATGAAATAACAAGGATTCAATTTAAAATTCAATGGAAAAACAATTTTATTGGATATACTTTATTGTAAATAATCAACATCAAAGTATGATGTTATTAAACAATATTTAATCTTAATGATATTACTCAAAATTTTAAATCAAAAATTATTTCTAATAAAAAATTATCATCTAGATTATAAAATCTGAGGAATTTAAATATTTTAGAGAACTCTTTAATTATAACAACCATCATTAATTCATTAATCCATTGGGCCATCAACATTGTTCAATGTCACCATTGATACAAAGCAATGATGAAATGTAGTTCAAATATGCATATTAAAATAAACTTACCTTGAGTTTTCTTTGAAGTTCTTCGTATTGAAATTTGCTTGCAATTATTGACAATATTCTTATTTTACCATCATAGCCTGTTTTGTTTTGTTCCAATGATTTATTAAAACATTCCCAAAAAATATCAGCTATAGTGAAATCTATTTTTTTTTCACATTCAAAAAGCCATTACTATTTAAAACCTCCAAGGTATCTTGATCAACTGATGGATCAAAGCTTTGAGACCAAAATTCATGCTTAAATTCATCAAAAAATTTTGTATTAGTTCAAATCAATGATAAAATATTTTTAATTTTAAGATGATTTTAAATCCTGGCTCAAGATGATTTTGCATTAGTTTTTTAAGAAATTGATTCCAGTGAAAATGAAGAAATTAAAAATACTCATGCAAATCTTGAAAATTATGAATTTAGAATAAAAAACTGAATAAAAATTACCTCTAACTTGTCTATTGAAACTGGTGTGATTTCTGTACATCTGGTAGCCCTCAACATTGCACGCCATGCTCTCATTTCATGTTCACTAAATTCATGATTGTATGGATATAAATTTTTTAATTTTCCATGCAGTTCAATAATTGTGCTTTTTTGCTCTAGCCAAGATTGAAAAACTCTTCTCCAGTCAATATTAGGAATTCTTTTTTTCAAATTATAATTGAAAATAGCATCCATAATTTTTTCGTTATTCCAAGATATAGGTGTGCATTTAGGAATTTTACCAATTTGTATATTTTGTTTGGTCATTGGATGTTCCAACCCAAACAACTGCATTCCAGTGAATTTTTTATAAATCTTTGTATTTTCCCATACTTCTGATGGTGTAGATCCAAAGAAAAACACTGGTGATTCAATATTATCCACATATATAGAAATTTTGCAATGATCATATTCAACAGTTTGAATAAACAAAGCACGTGTTCTATTATATTCACCTATAAATGAAGAAGTATAATCAATTTTGACACCAAAATCACTCTCTTCTCCCATGCCAATATCTATAATATATATTAAAATTTTGTCAAACTTTATAGCAAAGGGTTGAAAATCTATATCCTTCAGTGAAGCTTCCAATATTTCTTTGTTATCCCAACCTAAAACCAAAGGACCAGAAAAATTTGTATTTGAATTAGGATTTAGCCTTTTATATAAGCTTGTTATTGCATTACTAGGTGCTTCTTCTATATCACTAAACTTGCACCCAAAACGACATCTATATCCTGGTAGTAAATTACTAGTTTCATTGCCTTCAGTAATGCATGTATAGTATTGTCTGCCATTTTGTTCTATGCTAGTTTCCCAACCAACTCTCCTTGGATAAAGTAACGCACCTTCTTCTGGTTTACTTTTACTCTTCATAACCCACCAATCTCTTGAGTTTACACCATAATGCAAGTGTGGCTTTATTTGGCCTATTGAAATGAGATTTATAGTTAAATTGGGACGGTTAGTCATTTTAAAATTTTTAAAATTAAAATCGGCTCAATATTATTTTTACTAATTAATTTTATTATGTTTATTATCCCGCATTTTACTATTAAAATGTATGTCGATCCTTTCCGTCTATCGCGAATTGCGAATTAATGATCATTTTTTAATTTGAGTTCTTCGATTTCCTGTTATAGATCTTGGAGATTCAACTGGTACTGGATAAACAGACCTAGTTTCCGCAATTGACATCATAGGGTTTGAGTTGCTACTATAAGCTTGTAAATGCGCATTATTTTGATCATCTGCATTTGAATATTGTTGGGGATAAATACCAGTCTGAGGAGTTCCTATAAAATTATAAGGAACAACAAAATTTTGTTGAGGCGTTTGTTGTTGTTGTTGTTGATATAAACTTGGATCCATCGATCAAAATTTTAAAAATTTTTTTTTTTTTAATAAATAAAATAATATTTTTTAATGCGATCCCAAATTACGTACAACACTAAAATCGGCAATCTTTGAAAGCCAATAACTCCACAAAACTCTACGTAATGGAAAAGGTAAACCGATAGAATGAAGAACTTAAGCCTTTAGCTTTTAATTCTATCGGTTTACTTTTTCATTATCTTGGGGTTATTGATCCCAAAGTCAACATAGTAATCGAACAAACCTTCATTTTACCTTAGGACTTGTTCCTTCTAAAAATAAAAATTATAGTCGTGTGACATGTCCTAAAAAATCAAGGGGCAAGTTTATTTTCCGATGATCTACACAATTTTTTATTAATAAAATTTCGTCTTCATACCCTCGTTTGATACCCTTGTCGTGTAGCAATTGCCACCAAATTTGATACACAACTTCTATGTCATATGTATCTGCTTTAAAAATTTTTTTGATGCAAGTTGTTAATAAAACCGAAAATAATCTCAGCCTTAAAGTCAAATTTTGACATTATATTCATATATGTAGAAATTTGTTAGTGTGTGCAAAAGTAAATTAAATGTTATAAATATTTACAGAATCATGCTCACTTTGTATGTCTTTATACTATTGTTTATTTTAAAAGAGCAAATAAAATAAAAAAGAAAATCATGGTAAACACAGTAAATGAACTCCAGT